GACAATTGTGGCTTTAAACAAACTATAAATATAAGGAAAATATTTGTAAAATATAAATTTGAAGAAGTCCTCAAAAAAATAAAAAGAGACTTCACTTAAAGTAAACAAAATACAACTTCAAACTGTAGATATTTATTGAAGGCTTACCAGGTATAAGATTTTATATCTGATTTAGGCTACTTCAACTGAAATCGATTACTATTTTATTCCTTCTAGAATTTACATTATACTTTTGTTTCCATAGGATATTAAGTCCCCTTTAATAAGGGCATTTTTCCCACTTTCATTCCTGCCTCATGACTTTCAAGAAATGAGAAATGGGTGGCTGATAAAGGGAACCAAGTCAAACAAATTATAGTTGTACTGTAGGAAAAATATTCAGGAAGTAAACACAGTGAGGTCCCTTTCTCTCAAAGGCCTTACTATTAAAGTCTCTAGGATTTTGGAAGGTATGATCCGACTATTTTAGTTGTTGTTGTTGTTGTTGTTATGTGCCATTGAGTCGGCCCCAACTCATAGTGACCCCTCCTTGGGTTTCCGAGGCAGTATCACTACGGAAGTAGGATTGCCCAACCTTCCTTTCGAGGAGTGGCTGGTGGGTTTGAACCGCCAGCCTTCTGGTTAGCAGTCAAGTGCCTTAGCCACTATGCTACGCTCCTTTTAGTTAGAAAGATTAAATCCCATTGTCTTTGGTGGAAAATCCTTTTGCCTGAAGTCAAAACTTCTTACATTTAATCAAGGCACATTTAGAACATTAAAAACCAAAAAAGTTCAAAAGTCTATATAATGATTTACCAAAAGTAATAATTGATGGGAAGATTAAGTTTCAAGGAGAAGTAATATAGGCATTCGGAAAAAGAAATGATCAATACTATGAAGTGTTTGCATTAAACTTTTCTAGAGAACATGGAAACTGAGCTTGACCTTGAAAACTGGGTAATGTTTTGTCAGGCAGAGAAAGAAAAGGAAGCATATTCTAGGGAAAAAAGACAATATATTCAAATAAATGTTTAAATTATGACCTAGAAATCTAAAGAACTTCACTTGGAGTTTTGTAGAAGTCACCTGGTAAATAAAATTATCTGTAATGGTAATTATAGTAATTGCCCTAACATCACAATAAAGAGCTCTGATCCATTTCTAGTGCTCATAAAACAACCACTTAATGGGGGGACACTTTATGGCATAAGTATCTTATTCTTCCATCAATGAAGTATGCCAAATTATCAGTCCAGGCTATCTTAGTTCTATAATAACGATAACAAGAATATTTATAAATTAAGTGCAATAAATCTTTGTCACAGATCTAAGTGTTGATTATACAAATCTAAGTGTTTCCATACCCATTGCCAGCAAGTTGATTCCAACTTATAGTGACCCTATAGGACAGAGCAGTTCTGCCCCATAGGGTTCCAAGGCTGTGAATCTTTATGGAAGTAGACTGCCTCATCTTTCTCCAGTGGACCTGCTGGTTGGCTCAAACCACTGACCTTTTGGTTAGTAAGCAAACACTTAACCACTGTACCATCAGGGCTCCTCAATAAAAGTATAATATAGTTCACATCTTCAAAGAGTATTAACATTGTTAAAATATACTTTCTGTGATAAAATCTGTTTCTAGTTTATAATTCCCCTATCAGTTTTGTTTTTGAGGAAAAAAAATAAAAACACTGTATTTTGTCAAGACTTTTTAAAACAGAATGTTATGCCTTGCAAAAACACTTAATGAAATAATATATGCAAAACTCCAACTCCAGTTTCAGATGAGGAGGAGAAATTTGGGATTTGCTGAAGATTAATTTGAAATAATTGATCGATAAATGTTGGCTGATTTGAATTAAATAAAATTTCTATCATATAATTTGGTCCTGATTATTAATTTTTAAATTCCTTTATGGCTGATGGTAGATTTATTTTCCAAATTTTTATGTTTTTACTAGAAATACCCAATTTAGCAATTATTTGGATCCTTATTCTATACTTACTATAAAATACATTTACTCTGTGACTTCATGGAACTTCATGTAGTAGAAAGAATGTAAAGTTTATTTATCAGCTTTTTCATGTTCTGGATAGGGAAAACATAGGTAAAATGACTTGAAAGAAATATTTTGAGGCCTGAATATATGTACAGATACCTTCGTCTCTGCTGCCTGATAGATGTTTTCATATGTCACTATATACTATATTTCTATCAGAGTACTGAGAGGTATTCTCCCCATCATGACTCAAAAAAGAAGAAAAAGAAGAAGGAAAAGGAGAAGGAGAAGGAGGAGAAGGAGAAGGAGAAGGAGAAGAAGAAGAAGAAGAAGAAGAAGAAGAAGTTAATAAATGATGCAATCTACTCATAAAGTGAAATGTAAAATTATTCAGATAATTTCAATGTACATTGCTTTCAATGCTTAAATATTTCCTTGAATTTTAAAATGAGCTAAATAAAGCCTATAGTTCAATAATGACTCCGTGTGGTTTCATTAAAACTTACATTTTGACAGTTTCTCAAAAAGCCAATATTTCATAATTAATAAATGTTCATGCAAAAGGTTGATCTTCTGAATGACTGGATAAGTGCAAACTTAGGGGGAAATTTTTTGCTTTGTACGATTTATTGAAATCTGAGAGCTGTTATCTTTTGGAACAAAAGTAATTTTGGAACCATGCCCAAGAAATTGGCTCTATATGTTAACATTTGAAAGTTCTTTTAAAATAAAATTCACACTGTCTACTTTATTTTATGCTATATTTAAAATAAGAGAAATTGTAAAAAGCTTCATCTACCTTGATCATTTGTGGCCTCCTTTAAAATTTCCTCATATTGAACTCTCAGGTCTGTAAGCTTAAGATCCCCAGCACTTGATATAAATGGTTCTGGCATTCATTTTCAAGCTGAATCTACAGGGCCTTTACTGACAGATGGCTTCCTCTTATCTAGGATTCAGTCAGTCAGTTCAGTTACATAAAGATTCAGAGAACATGATGGAAAGAAACTTTGAAGTAAAGTAGATTTGGATTTGAATTCCAGTTCTGCCCCTTAATATCTATATGACCTCAAGTAAATTATCTAGCCTCCTCAAGCCTCAGTTTTATCACATTTGAAATGGAAGAATCATGCTTATATTTTGTGTTTTGGGGTGAACTAATGAGGGTAGATCAATTACTTTTAATGAATATAGTACAAAAACCAAAAACAAAACAAAACAAAACAAAAAACCACAGTGCCATCAAGTCAATTCCCACTCATAGCAACCTCCACTGGGTTTCCGAGGCTATAAATCTTTATGGAAGTAAATTGCCTCATCTTTCTTCCATGGAGCAGCTAGTGGGTTTGAACCACTGATCTTTTGGCTAGTAGTCAAATGTCTTATCAACTATATCGCCAGAGTCCCTTAGTGTAGGGCCTGACATATAACATACCTTCAATGAATTTTACTTGCTGTTTTTATTTTTGTTACTGCAAAACAACTCACTTTATGCATTGTATATTCTACTGGTTAATAATCAGCAATGTCAAAATGTAAACAAAAGCATTATTTTGACAATGGACGTCTATTCACCTGTTTTTCTTTTTGGCTTGACCAGAAATTTCAGATGTTACAACAATAATTTGTTATCTTGTTTATGACAATTTTAATTAGTTCTCATGCTACACTGGTGGGTTGGAACTGCCAGCCTTCTGGTTAGCAGTCAAATGCTTTAGGGACTATGCCACCAGAACTCCCAAAATAGCACAGTTTTACAGTTTTAACTACTTTTTCATTTCAATACATTATGTTTGATAGATTAATAAACAGATGACTAAATAAATGAACTGTTGGAGTCCTCAGAAACAAGGCTTGAGATAAGAGACTAAGAATTCACTTTCCTTGTTCCATGACTTCCTGTCACTGGCTAGTTCCACACCTTGAAAAATTTCCTCATTCCTCTGATTTCTCAACTTCTTCCTCTTTAAAACTAAGGTTTTTGATAGGTGTTGTTTATGGCCCTCAATCAGGCAAGGAAACTTGAAATAAGAGGCTATTCTTTGGTTATAGTTTTATGAGCTCTTAAATTCCATCTACCTGTTTTTCTTCTAAGTCTATCATACTTTCGAAAAATTTCCCACAGAATCTTTTGTATGTTATTTGACTAACTAAAGAATAGACAGTGCACTAGGGAAATGTCAGATGAAAATGAGCACATCTGGAGGACATGATTCCAATTTTTTGTCTAAAGAAGAGACACCTGAAGATGAGTCATTGAGAGGAAAAAAATTTAAGAGATAGAAACTTTGTTGTCACCTATCACTTTCTATGAAGACAATCAGTTGATAATTCCTGATAGTGTTTTTCTTTAATCATTCACTCATTTGTTCACTCATTCATTCAACACATGCTTATTGAATTTTGCATATTTGCATGGCAACATGCTAGGCTGAAGTTATAAAGTTGAATCTAATATAAATATTGTCTTTAAAGAATTTTCTCTTTAGTCAGGGGAGAAAGCATGAGCGTAAGTAAGGAAACATTCCAAACAACATGAAAGCAAGTTATATGAGATTTAAGAGGAGGAATGAGTTATCTTCAGCCAAGTGGTTGGCAATAAAGGGTAGGACATTAAGAAAATCTTAAAGGAGATGGTATTTTAACCATTTGAACATCTGAAGAATGGGCAGAAGGGTCTTTTTTTTTTTTCTTTCCCACTAAGGAAAGAGTGTGAACAAAGGTTCAAAGAACAGAAAACTGGATGCAATGTGGATTGACTTGAAAATTGGGGTTAAGAAGGAGAATAATGGAAAACAGAAAGGACAGAGTCAGAATGAGAGGATCTTGAATGCCATGAGGGAGTTAGGCTTTCTTTTCTAGGCAAGAACAAGCCATTGGTGGTTTTTGAGAAGAGGGTTGGAAGGAAGTTGGCTTTCAGTATGATGACTCCTGAACAGTTGTGTATGGTGGTTGTAAACTGAATTTTGATAGGTAGATGCCCCAAAGGAAGTTCCTAACTGAGATGTCTCTCTTATCTAGGCTGCTGATGTGCTGCTGCAACATGGAGCTAATGTCAATGTTCAAGATGCAGTTTTTTTCACTCCACTCCACATTGCATCATACTATGGCCATGAACAGGTGAGTCTGAGAGTAGGATTCCTAAAGCCTGGGGACCTCTTAAGGTGTCCAGATGTTGTTGAACTGTCCTAGCTTCAAATAACACATATTTAAGACATATTTTGAATTATTTTTTCCCATATTCTTGTCAAACCTGCCCTTTAGGAGTGTTCAGATCCATATAAACATTGTAGCTGCCATGTTATTCATTTTTTACTGGCACTTTAATATGCAAAGGAGCTCTAGTGGTGTAGTGCCTAAGGCATTTGGCTGCTAACCAGAAGGTTGATGGTTCAAACCCACCAGTCACTCCGTGAAAGGAAGACATGGCAAACTACTTCTGCAAAGATTTACTGCCTTGGAAACCCACAGGGGTCACTATGAGTCAGAATTGACTCAATGGCAGTGAGTTTGGGTTTTTTTTGGGGGGGTTATTGTGCAAGAGAAGCAGTAAGTTATGTTGTTGGTAAGTGTGTGCACACAGGAAATCAGGAAACGGTTAACCTGAATCTGAAAGTATCCAAATTTCATGACTGAGGTTATATAATTTCCCTGATCTTCACTTTCTTCATTTATAAAGTAGGGAAATATTACTAGTACTTACTCTATAAACTTGCTGTTATGATGAGATAATAACTCAAAATGTTTGTCAAATGCTCAATAAATATCTTTATGATGATGCTAATAGCAAACAATAAAACAAATCATAAAGTCCCTATCAAGAGTTGTCTGGAAAAAAAAATCTTTTGGAAGCTTTGTTTGCTGTTTCAACTATCTAGGGATGCAGTAGGCTGAATAATGGCCCCTGAAAATAATTCTCATCCTAATCTCTTGAATCTGTGAATATTACCCTCTATGGTAAAAGGGGTTTTGCAGAGATCATTAAACCAGAGCTGAGATGGAGAGGTTATCCCGGGCTTTATATAATTACAAGGGTTCTTATAAAAAGAGGAAGGAAATCAGAGTGAGTAGTAGGTGGTGTGATTATGAAAGCAAGAGGTTGGAGTGATGAGAGAGGAGGTGACCAGAAACCAAAAAATGCAGAAAACCTCTAGAAGCTGCAAAAAGGAAGGAAACGGAAGCCTCCAAAAGGAATACAGCTGGCCAACACCTTGATTTTAGACTTCTGACCTCTAGAACTATAAGGGAATAAATGTGTGCTGTTTTAAGCCACTAGGTTTCTGGTAATACCCTATACTGGCATTAGGACAGTAATATGTGGGAAATAACCTAGACACTTAAAAGCTAATCATCAGCTGTGCTTCAGTTATATACCAAGTGCATACTTGGTGCATATGAATTTTAATATTCTATAGGTTGGGCATTCCTACTTCCGTAGTGATACTGCCTCGGAAACCCAAGGAGGGGTCGCTATGAGTCAGGGCTGACTCGATGGCAAACAACAACAACAACAACAACAACATACTAAAGTAAAAACATGTATAGACTGCTTTAACACTTACAGTGTACTTTCAAATGAATAATTTCATTTGATTCATACAATAACCTTACGAACTTCAGCACTACAGTGTGAGTATGCTCATACTATGGGATAGATAATCATGTTAAATCTTTTATGTGAATTTTTTCTGATTTTGTCACAATTCTGAAATTAGCTGTTATCTGTCCTTTCTTACCAATTGCACACATGAATCTCAGACAAATGGGGTAGCATGCCAGAGTCATAGAGCTACTTAACAGAAGACCTGGAAGACATTCCCAAGTCTGTCTGGCCCCCAAAACGTGTTTGTTTTGTACTACTCTTCTTATTCCTCTTCTATCTGTGAGACAAAGCAGAAAGTTTAGGCAACTTGCCTTCAATGGAGTCAGAATTCAAAGACAGATGTTCTAACTTCAAAGTCCATTGCTTTTTAAATTTAATATATCAAAAGACAATCTATGTGTTACTTCCAAACGCTACCCTTTAGCTATAACCAAAGAAATGTTTCTGTTATCAGAGTTACTCCAATTTATGGTGACCTTATGGGTAACAAATGAAACATTGTCCGCCCTGCACCATCTTCACCATCATCGCTATGTTGGAGTCCACTGTGTTGCTATTCTGTCATTCCGTATCATTGAAGTTTTCCCTTAATTTCATTGTCCCTCTACTTTACCAGACATGGTATGGTATTTGAAATACCAGTGATGTAGGTTCCAGAATGACAGCAACACATAAGCAACCACAGTACAACAAAGTGACAAACAAATGCTAGAGGAAATAAATAGAACCAAATCAAGTAGGAATGCTAATGTAGTTTGGATGTCCAAATCTTTGCTGTTTCTTTAAGAAAAAAAAAAAAAAGAAGTTACTCTTCAAGTTGATTTTGGCAACCCATTTTCACTCTGCCTCATTTTATATCTCTGTTGCTGTTGTTATGTGCCGTGGAGTCAGACCCGACTCATAGCGACCCCTCCTTAGGTGTCCAAGACAGATATCTCTAGGTTTACTCAACTATGGAGGAATTGTAACTTTTCACTTCCCCAGAGGTCATGCCACTGTTTCACCTGAGGATCTCAAGTTGAAAATCAAACTTACTTGTGTCTCTGTGTTGCTCTAGTCATTGTACCTTTAATTCTCTGGTAGCCGGCATATGCTTAGACATTCTCAGACCTGTGAAGCGTGACCTATCGCTAGGGAAGATTTCTCATTTCATTGATGTGCTACTGAGAGTGCACTGGAGTGCTGGATGCTGAAAGTGCTTTTGAAAGTACTGGGTCCAAAAGCCCAAGTGATGGAAAAATTCTGTACTTTTTGGATGCAGGCACAAACAGGATACATGCAAAGCACGTTATTTGTTAGAGTCATCCCCTTTGACCATTAACCTCATCACCCAGCAGAAACATAAAGAGCCTCTATACATGTTGAGTGGATAGCTAAGTTTGTTTACTTTTTCCTGAATATATAGTCACAGATTTATAAAATTATGGTAAAATATGGATGGCCCTTTTATGATAAGGGACTTGCTTTCTGTGTGCAAAGGCAGCACATAAGTAATTTATGGATGCTATTGTCATTTGCAAAAATATGCTGACAAGGAAAATGGCACATTCAATATATAAATGTGCCTAATGTGCCATGTTCCTTGTCATTTGTTTATTTATTTGTTTTAAAGTAGAAGAGTAGATGTTTTGTTCCAAGAACAATATTTCCTAGGTATGTAATAATAGTGCTTATTAGACAATCAATTTCAGAGATAGTTTAAATCTGTCCATTATAAAGTCATATAAGCAGAATTTATGAGTCTGCATAAGTGGAGATATCTGCTTAGGAGTGCAAGGTCCTTTAAACTTCTGCTATTCTGGTTTCTCCTGAATAGGTCTTTGTCTGTCTATTAGCCAACAAAGGGATAAAAAATCCATATGCTCCATGTTGTGCTGCTACTTCTAACATTTATTGTCAGGTACTTTTCTGAGTGCTTTGCATGTAATAAATTATTTAATCTCACAATTCTATGAGATAAAACCATTATTGTTCCCATTTTGCCAATGAAGAAACTGAGTATCAGAAGATCAAATGATTTGTCCGAGGTCACAAAGGTACAAAGATAAGGCTGATTCCCTTTGTTCTTCTCATTCTATTCAATAAAAACTGACTCTTTGCATCCCACCCCGAAAATATTTTACCTAGAATTTGTGCCAAATGCATACTATATTCTTGAGGGATTTCTGATCAAGATATGTTTATTTGCTGTCACATAGGAAGTCGATATAGTTTTAGAGCTTAATTCTCTTTTGTGCTAACAAGTCAATGTCAGAACAATTGAGAAGCACTGCCATTAACTATTATTTTAATGGCACAGAAGCATCCTAATTTACTTCTTGGAATCACAAAGGTGAGTTCTGAAATTTTCATGGGAGGTAAAGTTAGTCTTAGAGAGATTATTTGGCAAATTCCTAAATGGATATGTAAATGATCTGGAGAAATGCCAGAAACTGCCTGTTTCACCCCAGGAAGACTCTTAAGTGCTTTGTCATTTTATTCTTCTCTGTCTCTTTGGATATGAAGTCTCAACTAATTGGGAAAAGTGCTGAGAGGCTAGTGTGGGTATCTGCAGTTTACTCACAAGTCAAGAAGACCCAGAACCCTGGTACAAATATGACCAACGGTAGCCTATCCATGGAGCTGTTATGAAAAATAAGAACCAAGTAAACTACTCCTAACTCTGGCCAGAAGGAGACTTGGGAAACTATTGTTCAAAGAAGTTTATGGGTGGTTTTAGAGAGGATTATTTATGTATAATAAAGAACTGCCTTATAGGATTTGATAAGAATTGGTACTAAACTGAAGAAATGGCAAAAATAGATTTACAAAAGCAAAAACATGGAGAGCAATTCTGAATTTTCCAAACTCCTTCATATTTCATCTGGTCCTCATAATAATTCTGAACCATAAGGATAAACATTATCTCAGTTCACCAATAAAAATGAAAAATAACATTTACAACACATGTACTGGGTGTCAGTCATTGAACAGTGTATGTTAAACAAATAATCTCATTGGATCTTCACAACAACCCATGATGTAAGTCTATTATTTCCATTTTATAGATGAAGAAAAAACTTAAAATAATTTTATAAAGTTATTTTATTTAACAAAATAACTAATTTTCTCAAAATCACACCACTAGTGAGACTCAGAGCCTAGATTCAAAGGTAAATCTGTTTCACTCTGGACTTTAATCTCTCAATCAGTACCTTACATTGCTTTTCAGTTGAAAACAAAACAAAACATTGTACATTATAAAGCAAGTAGCAGACACTGTTGATTCCTTATGCAAAACTTTTATCCCCCTTACTGCCACCTGATGCCACACATTTTTCCTTGCTTGCAGACTCATGATTGTGTTACCCTATTCAGTCTCCTCCTAGCAGTTTGTACTTAGATAAGGTGTCCCTATCCCCAACTACTGTAGGTTAGATTGAGATTAGTCTAAGCCACTCACAATTAATCTTTTCTTTGCCCAGGGATTGGTTTAGGAAGATGAAGATGACAAAGTCCAGGGCAGGTAGAAATAGGGGGATGTCTTCTGGAGCAGTTTTTGGGAAGGAATTCCTAGATCTTAAAAAAGAGACTTCCTGATCCAAACAAAAGTGGTGGTCTCTTGTTCTGCACTATGATCTTTGGGTAATGCCTAGAGCTCCTGCAGCTCTCCGGCTACTATGAGGCAGTTCAGGCTACTTGCTGAGCCTGACAGAACAGAATGATGGACAAAACTTGAACTTTGAAAATATCATTAAGCTGTTTTATTAACTAGCTCTGGAATTGCTCCATTTTTGGACTTTGTGTTCAGTGATAAAACAATATACATACATATTACTGTTTAGGCCAGATAAGTCAGGATATTTTATTTGTAGATGAAAATAACTTTAAGAAAAAGCCTTGATGATACGTCTTCTTTTATACTGCTGAAAGCTTTTATTTCTTTAGCCTTTGATAACCTTAATTTTTTTTTCTCTTTTGATATCAATTTCAAATCAATGAATTCTTTAGGTCACCCGCCTCCTTTTGAAATTTGGTGCTGATGTAAATGTAAGTGGTGAAGTTGGAGATAGGCCTCTCCACCTGGCGTCTGCAAAAGGGTTCTTTAACATTGCAAAACTCTTGATAGAAGAAAGCAGCAAAGCAGATGGTAAGATGATATTTTTAGAAGGCCTCTGCTATCTTTTACTATCTGTATTCTTTTTTAATTATACTTTCCTTAGTTACTGGAGAATAATTTTGAAGTTGATTATTCAATATCTGATTAGTCCTGTATCCATGTACTACTTTATACCACAAGTCATAATTTAATATTTTAATGTAGTTATTAAAACCATCTATGAATCTTTCAATAAACATTTTAACTCATTTCTGAATATATTAGGTATCCCAGTGAAAATGAGGGGTTTTCCTATTTGTTTTTATCCACTGATTCTTTCTTTAATTGAGATGTAATTTACATATTGTAAAATTCTCAAATCTTAAGCGTACAGCCTGAACAGTTACTTATGCATACTCGCATGTAATCATTACCAGATTAAGATACAGAATATTTTCATCACTCTGAGAAGTTCTCCTACGGCCCCTTCTCTCTAAATTGCCTTCAGCACCAAATGGCAGTCAACACTTTGACTGTTGGTGCCATCATTTAATTTTGTCTGTTCTTGATTCATGTAATTTTGTGTCTGACTACTTTTGTTCAACAAAATGCTTTTTAACACTTTTCCATGTATTACATATATCATAGCTTGCTCTTTTTTATTGCTAAAGATGGTATGAATATAACATTTTGTTTATCTATTCACCTTTTAATGGACATTTGAGTTTTTCTAGTGTTTGGCTATTATGAATTCAGCACTTATCAAGTCTTTTTGTGAACATATTATGCAGTCTTCTCTCTTGGGTGTATATCTAAAAGTGAAATTGCTAAGTCAAAGGATATGCATATGATTGTGGAAAATTGCAGTCAATCTCATAAGACAAAGTGTATGTGAACTGCTATATGGAAAATGAATTTTCTCTGTAAACTTTCACCCAAATCATAATTTTTTTTTAAAAAAAAAGGGTATCCATATGTTGAAATTTTTTGAATATTACCAGACTGTTTTCTAAAATATTTATATTATTTTTAACTCCTACAAGTAATATATAAAAGTTTTAGTTGCTCCCCACATCCTCACCAATTTTTGATACTATATTATTGTTATTGTTTATGGAGATAAAGAGTTTGAGTGTGATCAGGTTGAAAATAAACTTTAGACCACAAAGAAGGACTTTAGATGCAGTTAATAGAATAGAATTTCCCTAAAGCTTTTATTTTCTAAATTATAAAAGGAATTTTGGAATATTGATTGTAAGTAGAGCCTGGAAAGATTTTCTTCCTTTCTCTTTCTTTTTTCCTTACAAACTATTTTTTGACATGAATTCACTCAGAGTTACACCTTGCCATTAAATTCTCTCAAGCATATCCAACAGTCTTCCATTGACCCCCCAAGAGACCTAATTAAAAGCCCAGCTGTAAAAGCTGCTGGCCTTTGCAGCAGGAATGATGCACATTTCCAAAAGAACAAGGTTGTCAAACCTTTGAAACTTCCAGTTTCTTGGTCCAAAATTCAGATTGATTTTGAGGTAATAAAGCTAATCATTGTTTTTCTCTACTCATGAGAGAGGTGCAAAGGGACCCAGAGACAACCATGGTGAGAAGCGAGGGCAGTTTCCATGTTACTTGGCATAATTTGAGAAACATGGCTTGTGTTGTTTTCTATAAGCCTGTGTGCAGTACCTCAGGCATCTTCTCTATGGCACTATAAACCACATGTGTTGTCAGAACGTAAGGATCACTATTCCTTGGACCTTGTTTATGTAGTCTCTTTCATTTTGTCAGTTTAGAACAGGCAGAGGTACACCTGTGTGAATCACTGAGCACATAATTATGCTTTTGAAACTGCCTTGCTCTTCCAAGGGGTCAGCAACCTCATCACTTTTTCCTTTTATTATGGATGCCAACCTCAGCCTTTTTCCCTCTACACAACTCCAAAGCTCAGTGGTGTCAAAATGAGTGTCATTTGTGATCAGCATGTCTCTAGGATCAAAGGATTCTTTTGAAAAGAGGCATTGAAATGGGTACTGCACCCGTATACACCCTACATACTATTATCATATGAAATAATTTTAGCATTTTCTTTCTGACTCACACAAGCACTACATGCCTCCTACCCAATATTTAAAAAATCAAGAGACAACATGACTCTGAGTTTTAAGTATTTTTATTTCCTTCTAGTTCATACTTGGGAGCTCTGGTGGTGTAGTACCTAAGGCATTTTACTGCTAACCAGAAGGCTGGAGGTTCAAACCCACCAGCCACTCCTCAGTAGGAAGATTGGGCAATCTACTTCGATAGAGATAGCACCTTGGAACCCCAAGGAGGGGTCGCTAGGAGTTGGAAATGACTCGATGGCGGTGAGCTTGCTTTTTTTTTTTTTTTTTTTTTAAGTACATACTTGATATTTAAACTCTCTTTGCATTTAACCAATTGCAAAGAATAAACCAGAAGATCTCTTGTGCCTACTGCACACTACACAGGAGTTATTGTCAGTTAATTTATTCCAAAATGTAGCTAAGCTTCCAAATGATTTATTTTAGATCTGAACCTTGCCTGTGGTAAATGAATATAGAGGAATATTAAGTGAATGACCCTTAAAGGAGTAGAATTTGAAATCTGGTATTTACAGAATGTTTCCATGGTAACAGAATGTCACAAATGAAAATAAATTCAGGTTACAAAATTAGCCAAAATGTAATTCTGAAAGCAGCTGCTTCAGTTCAGTAGGTTTCAGAGGCTGACCTATTCATGTATGTGTGTTTTTCATCTCTGGTCTTCTTCCTTTTACCTCTTAGGACAATGGAAAAGGAGAAATGTATTGCCCATTGAAAGAGATTAAAAAGGTTAAGATATCATGATAGTCTACAAGAAGAAAATATTGGTGTAGTCCTCACACTTTATCATTTTAATAAAGAAGAAAGTGGAAAATTTTAAATTCAGAATTTATTATTTTTTGTCCTCTCAATGTTAAGTGTGATAGTTGTTTCAAATAACAAAATTCTTTATAATGGAACCTGAGATTACAGAAAGCTGCAAGGAATTCCTAGGGCATGACCCATAAAATGAAGTGAAGGAATTCTTAGGACATGACTAATAAAATGAAGTGTCTTATTTTGTGAAATATGGCCTATTACACAGATTTGTTATTGAAAGTTTATTTACATTTGGGAGTTATTTAAAAGGGACTCTGAGATCTTCTAACATAGCTACATTAATCTGAAAATGTTTATTTTATATTAAACGTCAATAAGCAGAAATAAGGAAGGAGAAGCATCCACCCATCCACCCATCTATACAGTCTTCCATTCAAAAAACAGTACTGAACATCTGATCTCTTCCAAGTAGTGGATAAGATATTAAATATTTCCTCATAATTATTTAAATGTATTCCTTTGTTTGAAATCCTTCTTAATTTAAAGCTGTCAATATGATATTAAGTTAGGACCAATAGAATATCATTCATACATTCAGTTTCCCTGAGATAAAGATAAAATTTAAATTTATTTATTTATTTTTGTCTTTGCAAAGTGGCCCAAGATAAAACCCAGTATATCACAAAGAGTGAGGCAGAAACATAGATTAAAAAAACAAACAAACAAAAAAAAAACACTACTGTCACTCTGGTAGCACAGTGCCTAAAGCACTTAACCATTAACCAGAAGGCTGGCAGTTCAAACCCACCAGCAACTCCTCTGAAGGAAGATGGGGCAATCTACTTCTGTAGTGATACTGCCTCGGAAACCCAAGGAGGGGTTGCTATGAGCCAGGTCCGACTCCACGGCATGTGACAACAACGACAACTGTAGTTTGGGATCCGACTCATAGCAACCCCTCCTTGAGTTTCCGAGGCAGTATCAGTACAGAAGTAGATTGCCCGACTTTCCTTCCAAGGAGTGGCCAGTGGGTTTGAACCTCCAGCCTTCTGGTTAACAGTCAAAAACACAGATGTATAAACATAAGCTGTTTGCTTGGTCTGAGATTTCTCCCTGTGGTTGTTATTTACTTCTTTGATGGGAAGAATCTCTAACCCAATGCAGGTAATTTACCAAATAAATAATGTACTTTGAAGTTCATTGATTCAACTGGAGAAGAATAATATTGGGTGGGGCCAGAGATGGCCAAAGGTAAATTGTGAATTAATGGAGGCTTGTGCTGCATTCTGCTTTACAATGTCCCCTCTGCACCTCAAGAACTCTTATGTGACCTTCCAGGCGCCCTGGACTTCTAATTGTTCTCAAGCATTGACTCATGGTATTGACTTTCCCTGGTTTCCAACAGAATGTGAACAAAGGAAAAGTATCATAAAAAGGAAAATAATCAAAAGAACCAGGAGCATTCTTTTGAAGGAAAGGTATCTGTCTGAGTTACTCATTAAAAAAATAAAAAAAAAAAAGATTCAAAGATTTGTTGTTCAATAACCATCTTGGGAGGAGGGGCTCAGTGACTTTCTAAAAGATTTCCCTTTAGCTTAAGATCTTGTAGGACTATAATGAGAAGGATTGGCTACAAAAATAGCAGATTCAAGGCCTAAATCAGTGGTCATTAAATGCTAAATGATAACTATAATAATAGTAGTAATAAACTACACACACTTTTAAAAGAAACTAAATAAATACATCTTCCTTGCTTTTTCTTCCTAGCTTTCATTATTCTTTTTGTTCCTTCTTTCCTTTCCTTCAATCTTTGGGCTCTACAGAGAATTTCTACTATTGATACATATAAGAATGAGAATGAATGAAATTTGTTAAGGGCTATTATTTATTATTTTGAATAAAGCACTCTGTACAGATGGACAAAGTAATCAAATAATTTTTAAAATGACTCTGGAGATGTTGATCCAATTATTTCAGTTGCAAAAGTTGAATTGAAACTAGATGTGGAATTTAGTGTCTTAGTGTTCAGTTATTAGTACTTCAGACCTGTAAGTATAGACTATTAAACTAGTCTGTAAGTTATTTAAGGCTATGTACTTTATTTTTTTATACCTAATTGGTGTCAGCTCTCAGCAATTTTCTAGGAGGGAAAGTAATGTAAAGATAGAGTAGTAACTTTTATTAAATGTCTAATATGTTGCAGGTTACATGGTAGGTACTTCCCAAGCATGATCTTCTTTAATTCTTACAGCATCCCTACAACAAGACTGTTACCTCCATTGTTAGTGATAAGAAAACAGTACTTCCAGTACCTAGCACAGTGCCTGGAACATACTGACTCACATAATACTTGTTGAGGAATAAGTGTGTACTAGTCAGATTTTTTTTTTCTTTTAACTTGGAACCATTGGAAACTAACTCTTGGTAATTTAATTCTAAAATGAATATATTAAAAGATATTGTTGTTGTTGTTGTTTGCCGTCGAGTCGGCCCCAACTCATAGCGACCCCTCCTTGGGTTTCCGATATTAAGATATTAAGTAGCTCAAAATGTCTCCCCCAGGAAGAGTGGAAAACCAGGTTTGGAATCTTTACGTGAAAGACAACATCCAAATGACATCCCAAAAGTGGTCTGAGAAAACATATCACCACCCATGCTGGACACGCACAGGAAATTGAGCTCTGGCAATAACAGCGAATCTGTGGCTAGAATTGCTACTTTTGCTACCCATGGAAAGTAGGTAGACCAACTCCCTCCCCTGACACTTTGCTAGTATAGATTAGGTCCTGTTTTTTTGTGTTGTTAGTTCTGATGTCAGAGTCTGATATACTGTGTTGACTGGAAATGCCTATTGATATGAGTCCAAACCAGGCACTGTTCAGAGTGAAAGGGCCATTATTAATAATTATGCCAGAATAAAAAGCTTAAAACTGGACATATGGTCACTAAACAAATAATTTCTTTTGAAAAAAAAAAAAAAATCAGCACAAATTTGGTTCCTGTGAAGTGGGAGTTAGGGTTAGCCCAGATTGCCAACTTCTGTACACTCTGTACCACTTCATCATGTCTAACACTCTCCCTCCTTTCAACACTCTTCCTTCCCCCACTGGGCTTGATAATTTGCTGCAACGTCTTCACAGAGCTCATGAACTATACTTAGAGTTAGTAATAGGCTACAATTTGGGATCAGACTCAAATTGGAAGTAACAGAATACAACTCAGGAGAAAGAATGCAGTTCATCAATCACGACGTCTTTCAAACAGGACAATTCTCTCGGCTCCTTTTGTAATGCTAGCAGATCTTTTTATCAGCCATGCACAGCTCAATGCCTTTGGCTACTGTCACACCACATGGGGTCCTGCAAGTCTCCAGAGTCTTCTGCTGTGCCACTGGGCCTTGTTGGGCTTGGCGTCTGCAACTAGTCCTTGCTGGACCTCTGCGCAACTCAGGCAAGTGTTAGAGCTCTTTTGGCTCCACAGACAAGTGCTTGGTGGCACCCTCCTCTATCGGCAAGCCTCCCACCCAAAGGCACTCAGTTCTCTCTCTGTCTTTGGGCCAGCAAACACCACCTCAGCCATCTGCTGATCCCCTAGTTCCTGCCAGAAATACTGCTGCTGCTGTCTGTCGCTGTCATCTCAAGCTGTCTCACACCATCTTCAGTGTTACATCTCTTAATCCATAATACAGCACTCTTAGGGGTTCCTCTTTCTCTCTTTCAATGCCTGTATAAAAACATACTGGGTCATTTAAAGTCATGGCCCTCCCAGCCAGGCCTCAAACTGACCAATCTCATACAAGATCACTTAATCCTATTAGGTGGATTTACACATTCTATTTGTGTAATAATCGACCAGTCCTTTACAATACTGTGGCCCATCCAGTCAGGTATTATTGGTAGAATTAAAAACCCAAGTTAGAGGCTATAAATAGGAGAAATTCATAGCACTGCAATCACTCTCTGCTAATCCTATGCTGTAACATGACTGGAGCTTGGAAATACATCTAATGGTGTAGTGATTAAGGCATTTAGCTTCTAACTGAGAGGTTGATGGTTTGAACCCACCAGACATTCTGTGGGAGAAAAATGAGACAGTCTGCTTCCTTAAAGATTTGTAGCCTTGGAACCCAATGGGGCTTGCTATGAGTTGGAATTCACTCAACGGCAGTGATTTTGGTGTTTGTTTTTTTTTTCTTTTTTTTTACAGTAGTAAGTGGTCTGGATTCTCATCATTACTTTTAGTATGGCTAAGGAAGGTTGGGCATGCCTACTTCCGTAGTGATATTGCCTCGGAAACCCAAGGAGGGGTCACTATGAGTCGGGGCCGACTCGATGGCAAATAACAACAACAACAACAATTCCCAAATATAGGAAGAGTTATGAGTCTGGTTGAGCCAAGAGAAAGATAAATACTCACTCCTGAGGGAACATTTAATAAATGTTAAATGACTTGTCTCTTGTTCTTGAGTACTGTCAACTTGGTTACAACTTACAGCAACCCTATATACAACAGAATGAAACACTGCCCAGTCCTGTGCTTTCCTCACTGTCACTGCTGTATGACAGTGTATGAGCCCATTGCTGGAGCCACTGTGTCAGTCTTATTAAGGGTCTTCCTCTTTTTCACGACCCTTATGCAATACCAACATGATGTCCTTCTCCAGGAACTATTCCCTCCTGGTAATATGTACAAAGTTGTTAGGTGCTGTAGAATCAGTTCTGACTCATAGCAATCCTATGTACAACAGAATGAAACACTATCCAGTCTTGTGCTATCCTCACAATATTTCCTAAGTTTGAACCCATCATTGCAGCCACTGTGTCAATCCATGTCATTGAAGGACTGCCTCATCTTTGCTAACCCTCTGTTTTACCAAGCATGGTATCCTTCTCCAGAGAATGGAGAATATCAATATCCTTCTGGCAACATGACCAAAATATGTGAGATGAAGTCTGGTCATTCTCACTTCTAAGGATTTTTCTGGCTGTACTTCTTCCAAGATAGATTTGTTTATTCTTCTGACAGTAAGTTGTATTTCCAATATACTTTGCTAACACCACAATTCAAATGCATCAATTCTTCTTTAGTCTTCCTTATTCATTGTCCAGCTTATACTTGCATATGAGGTGATTGAAAATATCATGGATTGGGTCAGACACACCTTACTCTTCAAAGTGACATCTTTGCATTTTAATACTTTAAAGATGTCTTTTGCATCTGATTTTCCCAGCACAATATGTCATCTGATTTCTTGACTGCTGCTTCCATGGGCATTGATTATGCATCCAAGTAAATTGAAATCCCTGACAATTTCAATCTTTTCTCTATTTATTGTGACATTGCTTACTGATTCAGTAGTGAGGGTTTTTGTTTTCTTTATGTTGAGATATAATTCATATAAAAGTCTGTAGTCTTTGATTTTCATCCATAAGTATATCAAGTCTTCATCACTTTCAGCAAGCAAGGTCATGTCATCTTCTTATCCTAGGTTGTTAATGAGTCTTCCTCCAACCCTGATGTTGTGTTCTTCTTCATGTAGTCCAGCTTCATGGATTATTTGTTAAGCATATAAATTGAAAAAGAATGGTGAAAGAATACAACCCTGATGCACAACTTTCTTGCTTTTAAACCATGCAGTATACCCTGGTTCTGGTCAAACAACTATTTCTTGGTCGATGTACAGGTTCTTTCTGAGAACAATTAAGTATTCAGGGATTCCCATTCTTTGCAAAGTTATCCATAATATGTTATGATAGACATAGTCAAATGCTTTTGCATAGCCAATAAAACACAGGTAAACATCTTTCTGGTATTCTCTGCTTTCAATCAAGGATGTCTAAGGTACAATAAGGTCTGCTTCAGTCTCTCTCTATCTCTCTCCCTCTCTCTCTCTCTCTCTATATATATATATATATGTATATATACATATATATATATACATGTATGTATATATTTATTACACCAAGTTTGTATACTGAAATATGACAATTCTTAGGTTAAAATACACTTCAGAATCTCCTAAACAGTGTTATAATATACAGATGCCAGGTCTCATCCCCTTAGCCTGCTGAACCAAAACCTCTGGGAATGGTGCTCTGACCAGAATCTATTTTTAACAAAATCCAAAGGGGGATGGTGGGTGGATTAGAAAATAAATTCTAATGGAAATAAGGTCACAAGTACCTTTTAGATATTTATTAGTTTCCTGAAGTATTCCATTGTGCAAGGTAGATTTGGTTAGATGCATTCTATAGAATTTATGAAAGCTAGAAGAAAGCCTGTTTAATGTGGTAATAGGCAATAGACTAGAATTACAACTTTTTTAATTGGTTTCATTTAATTTTCTTTATTATTATCATTAATTGGCAATTTCCAGGAGTATCTGGCACTTAGAAATTCCCAGGCAGTACACACATGCTGACGGAGGAACAGAGGATCCCAGATAACATACCTTTTCCTTTTTTTTTGATGACAGTGAATGCTCAGGATAATGAAGACCATGTCCCACTCCATTTCTGTTCTCGCTTTGGACATGACGACATTGTGAAATACCTACTCCAAAACAATTCAGAAGTTCAACCCCATGTTGTTAATATCTATGGAGACACCCCTTTGCACCTGTGAGTATTATATATAGTTTTATAGCTCATCAAGATAGACTGCATATACCCTCTTGATATTGACAAAGAATCTTCTTTAACTCTAGGGCATGCTACAATGGCAAATTTGAAGTTGCCAAGGAAATCATCCAAATATCAGGAACAGAAAGTCTGACTAAGGAAAACATTTTCAGTGAAACAGCTTTTCACAGGTAAAAGAACATTTAAGTGCAATAGTTACTAAACTTGGCTGACATCCAATGGCACCTGAAATTTTGTACATAAAGCAAGAACAAATAGTGGCAGATGTTGTCATCAGAGAGCAATAGCAGAAGGTGAAGAGAGGACAAGGAACCTAAGCTAGATGCACAGAAGAAAAGGTGGAGGCAGATGCTGTAGTCAGTACAACAGATGGGGCTGGAGCCAGATGCTGCATTCCTAGCAGTAGCCACAAAGGCAGAGAGTGATGTTGCTATGGCAACAGGCATATCAACATCTGTAACCATATTGCATTTAGTCCTTTTTACTCTAAGGAAAGCTGCCAAAAGGAGTAGTGCCCATAATCCTCCTCCGACAAGAATCACATTACCAGAGCTCATCAGCATCAAATGTGACACTTTTTTTTTCTTACTACTTAAACTTTACGTACAAATGTGTCTACTTATTTGAGAAATCCATCTGCCAGCCTGTAAATGTCTAGTCAGGGTGGCCACTTAGACACCTAAGAAGGAATTAGCATCTTTCTAGGAATCTGTGAGAGCCTGTAACAGTGTGCACAAGAAAGGTACACTGAAGGAACAGCTGCGATTAGAAAATGTGCACATTTTCTCTCCATCCCACAAAAAAGATTGCTAAGAACTTAAAGCCATAGCTTCCTAAAATGCTCAGAAGGAAGTTGGATATGTTATAAAATTTAAAGCACTCAATATAAACATTCAGATTGTTGCTGTTTTACTATAAAAATAATAGCAAGAAATATGAATATAGTAAACTTTGATTTAAGATCATTCACCTACAATTAGAGATTTCTAGGCTAGTTTGCAACCTCTGAAAAGTATATTTTATTGGAGCTAATTTGTGGTTTACATATATCAGTGAATAAAAGAGATGAAGAGAATCTTTTTTTTTCATATTGAACTAAAAGTAAGTCTGTGCATATATCAAGCATCAACCTGTCAAATTTTATATTGACTTACAGATTTATCTTAAGAACAAAGCAGGACAACTAAAAGGTAAGTGAAGAAAACTAGCAGTTAAAAGTAATGACTATATGCCAGATGATTGGCATTCATTATCTCATTTAATTGTCTTAACCATTTTATGAAGTTATATTTATTACCCCTCTTGTACAGATGAGAAAATTGAGGTTAAAGGAAATAAATAACTTGCAAGAGTTCCATATGGCTAGAAAATTATGTAGTAAAATGGATGCTTACTTCAAAATCCTGTGCTTCTTACATGTTCTAATATCTTCATGTTCTAATACCAAAATATTTGGACTGTTTCTACACATTCAATAACAGAACAGATGTAAGAACTTTTCCAATCATGCCTTCAGTCAAAATGGATCATTGGCATCTGTCCCTTAAAGGGACAGTTGGCAGAACAGATATGTATGGGTTGCTGGAATCTTCTTTCCCCATTAGGTCATGCCTAGTATGACTGACACCTCAGACTACTTTTCAAATCATTGTACTACTCCCTGCACATAAATTTCAACCAATTGTAATAGGAGGGTGACTATCACCTTCAAAAGAATATCTATATGAGAGCAGTTATTGAGTTAAAAGTATATATCCAATTGTTTTGTTTTGTATAAGCTTGTGGCTACTAGGAATAATATAACATTTTTATTTCTATTCATTTTAAGCACATATTTATAAAGAAACTCTCCTCCCACATGAGGAATTCACTGACTATGAATTTTTCTCTTACTTACAATTCACAGTGCTTTCTACATAGTAAGCACTCAATGCATGAACTGAGAATGGCCAGACTTTGTCTCATGTATTTTGAACATATTGTCAAAAGGGACCAGTCCCGGGAGAGGGACGTCATGCTTGTTAAGGTTGGGGGTTGACGAAAGAGGGGAAGGCCCTCTACAAGATGGATTGACACAGTGGCTGCAGTGATAGGTTCAGGTACAGCAAGGATTGTGAGGATGGTGCAACATTGCTATGAGTCAGAGCCGAATTGAGGACACCTAACAACAACAAAAAAAAAAACACGAACACGCATGCGCGCGCGCGCGCGCGCGCGCGCACACACACACACACACACACAGTAAAACCTGGGAAAGCTAGAACCTAATTAAGGCAGAAATTTGCCAGAGGAGAAAAACTCAAATATCTTCCATTAATAGAGTGCGATTGAAAAATGGTAAGCTGCACCCTTTTCAAGGTGGAACACTTGTGAGATACAAGGCCCAAACCAACCTAAACGAAACTCACTGCCATGGAATCAGTTCGACTCATGGCAACCCCTCCTTGGGTTTCTGAGATGATCTTGTGTAATTCCAACTCTCACAGGTTTCACTGCATATACACACACACGGATATATATATATCTGTGTGTGTGCTGTTGTTGTTGTGTGCCATCGAGTCGGCCCCAACTCATAGTAACCCCTCCTTGGGTTTCCGAGGTGGTATCACTATGGAAGTAGATTGCCCAGCCTTCCTTCTGGGGAGTGGCTAGCGGGTGGGTTTGAACTTCCAGCCTTCTGGTTAGCAGTCAAGTGCCTTAGGCACTATGCTACCAGAGCTCCTATATAAATATAAGGCACTTGACCTAAGGCACTTGACTTCTAACCAGAAGGTTGGTGGTACAAATCCACCAGCCACTCCTCAGAAGGAAGATTGGGCAATCTACTTCCTTAGTGATACCACCTCAGAAATCCAAGGAGAGGTCGCTAAGAGTCAGAGATGACTCCATGGCACATAACAACAACAACAAATTTATATATATATATATATATACAAAATACCAAACTCAGTGCCATCGAGTTGATTCTGACTCATAGGCACCCCCTTTGGGTTTCTGAGGTAGTAAATCTTTACAGAAGTAGATTGCCCAGTCTTCCTTCCAGGGAGTGGGTGGTGGGTTTGAACTGACAAACTTCTGGTTAGCAGTCAAATACAGTCAAATGCCTTAGGCACTACACCACCAGAGCTCCTTATTTCATATATATGTATAAAACCAAGGAAAGTTGGGCAATCTACTTCTGTAGTAATACTGCCTGGGAAAACCAAGGAGGGGTAGCTATGAGGTGGAGCTATGAGTTGGGTCTGATTCGAC